ATCGCTACTAGGAGCAAGATCGCTACTAGGGGCTCCTGGCCTGACTATTAACCATGTACTATTTTTTAGCCCTCTCTGCCCCCTACTACTTAATTAGGTAGGCGCCATTTCAGGAAGTAAGGGGTAAGTTAGCTTCTAGGTAGGATGCAAGGATAGATCATGCTTCTTCAAGGAAACTTCCCGTGCCTGAGGGCGGGGGGGGAGCTTCCTTGAAGAAGGCTCGCACTCTTCATTTGGTTCCTAGATTTTTTTGAGGGAACTTACCGTTCTTGATGAATAGAGTATATAAAAGCATACCGGCTTAATTACTTACCTGAGCCGTATTATGCTTTTCTAGGATTCGAGTCGGAAGCCAAATGTTCTTTTCAAAATCTGTGATTTTTGCTCCTAATTCTTCCTGATATTTTTCCTGTTTGTTTCCTCCAGTTTGAAACTTTTGGCCGTGTTTTGTCCTGTGACAGGAGCTGATCTACGTCTTCCGAGCAAAGCTCACCACAGAGTCCCATTCTATTCCCAACCAGGCAAACTATTCACAAAACCAAGCAATTCACAACCGCTTGGCTTGTGGGAATCTTTCTCTATCTCTCAGCTGTAGGCAGTAGAAATCATGCGCACCGGGATCGAGGTGGGGACATACATTTGCAATGCAATGTCTTGGATGCTCTCTGAATCAGCTTTTGGTAGTTTTCTCTGCCACTTCAGTGGAGGCCATTGCTCTTAGGTTGGAGGCCATTGCTACTAGGGTGAAGGCCATCGCTACTAAGGTGGAGGCCATCGCTCTTAGGTTGGAGTACTAGGGTGGAGGCCATAGCTCTTAGGGTGGAGGCCATCAGTGAAAACGTCAGGTTGAGTGGGTGCAGAATCCTGCTGCTACGACCAATGATGAGCAATCAGCGCTTGGGCCTCAGCACCATTGGCATGGACAACGAAGACTTGATTGTGATGATATTGGATGAATTTCTTCCGGATGTTCAACAAGAAAGTATGCTTCCAAACCACAGACGCTGCTGAGAGAACACACATAGAATTTGCTTGGTTCCCTTTGATAAGGCGTTCTCATTCAAGGAACCCAAACACCTTCTTCTTTTCCTTCTCTTTTTTGAACACACTGAATTGTCAATTTTTTTTACTTATTTTCTATCTTTTTTACCTCTCTTCTATTGGCTTTGCTAGTTCGTTCTGCGAGGTTTGCCCGAGCAGAGGAAGCCTCGGAGGAAGCCTTGTCTCGCGGAGCCAAGTTGGTGAGGAAGCCCAGTGGCCAAAGCAAGGTGAATTGATGGCCGGTCATTCCGAGAGGTGTCTGACTGTGTGAAGTCTCTTTGAATGCTTTAAGATGCTTGTCACTAGTAATTTCTTGCTACTAGTAGCGATGCCCTTGTTACTAATAGCGATGCACTTGTTACTAGTAGCTTCTAACCATGTGAAGAACGCAGGAAAAGTTAACACGTCGACTCAAAAGCTTTTCCACCAAGCGACCTTTCAACCTTGTGTGCAGATTGACAGCAGCCCTAGTAGCGTCCTTGCTCCTAGTAGTAAGGCCAGGAGCCCCTAGTAGCGTCCTTGTCTGTCCAAATGGACAAGTAACGCTGTTTTAATCACCAGATGAATGGCCGTTCCAAGAATGGGTTTTTGTTGTCGCGTTGAGGTCTTGCCTTTAGCTGCATGTGATTTGATGAATGTGACCTTCTTCTTGGTCTTGACCTTAGGAAAGTAGCAATCAACACTGCTGTAGTTGCTACATGTTTCAGCCTATTGTTGCTACATGCCTAATATGAAGTTTCCTTAAAAGTCTAGGAACCAAATGAATAGGTGCAAGCGCTTCTTCAAGGAAGCTCCCACCCGCCCTCAGGCGTGAGCAGCTTCCTTGAAGAAGCGTGAGCTATCCTGCGTCCTAAGTAGTAGCTACTTAAGCTACTAGCTACCTCTCCCTTACTTAATTAAGTAGGGGAGGGGGGGAGCGCGTGCTACAAAACAGAAATACTGTTTCAGCCAGAACATGCAGAGACTATTTGGGGCATTTTGCTGGCTTTTCTTTGCGCAGATGTGCAACCGCAGCAAAGTGATTCCAGCGAGGGTCTTAGCATGGCACCATCGACTGGGAAGGACAGAAACAGGTTGGCCCTACAATGATTTCTCCTCCCAAGTGTCATAGCATTCATTTTTTTTGGACTTAGCCTGCTAAAACTTGAGACGGAAGCCGCTTCACTGACGTGACAGTGAAAGGATGGAAGATCATTTTTGTTGCTCGCCGGCTTGTCTTTGCTGTTGGAACGAACGATGCACAAGTCGACAGCCCCTCGCCCACCTTCTCGAGGCCAGGCCAAGTGCTTTGATTCAGCCATGGGCCTAGCACGACGACAAGACTTTTCAACAAACATAGAATAAAGTCAAGTGAAAAGAAAGACCGAAAGGAACACAGAAAGTTCTAGAAGTGAAACTAAAGAGCCTCTAAAGATCTAAATCAAGTATGTGAATGGAGCCCTTCTGCGCCCAGTCTCCAGATACTTAAGCTATGACAGCCAGCCTTTTTGCCACCTCCCCTTCGGCCTACCTGGTATACCTTGCCCTAAAAGCAACAAAGCACTTTGTGAGGATGTTCGGATGCAATAAACAGAAGGATTCTTAGGATTAGGCCTCTACTGCTAAATCCTCATGCAAAAGTGCTCCCACCTGCCAGGCAGCTTTAACAAAACCAAAATACACGGTACCTGAAATTGTGCAAGCGAAGTGGCTAGCTCCCTAGAGGCAGCAGAACACAATTTAGTGTAAAGTTCCTGCGGCAAACTGCGGAACTCAATGTGAGAAAAGCTCTGAAACACCCTTGGCAGCCTGGTCAGCAAACTGCTTGTGAAGGCACAGTTTTCAACGGGAAAAACACAGCTGCAGAGTGAAACTCGGTGAAGCTGGCTTGAGGCAAGACTCCGTTGATGCCGTAAGTGCACATGAGCTAAATGGAATGAGAGAGATGCGCCGGGTGCCCAAGGTATCACAAGGTTCTTCAAGTGGCGTTTTCACACTAGAATTGAAACTTTGTCTGAAGTTTGGTGCAGTGATCATATTTACAACACATAAATATTATACAGTCTTGGAAAGTAGAACTAAGTTTAAACATATTAGTCATATCCAAGATAAAAGAAAACAAATAAATGGTTTTCCGTCTTTTATTTTTCAAGTTTGTTGGGTCGTCCAGTTTTTTGGGACTTTTTGCTTCATGCTCTCGGTGCTCCTGTCATGATGATAAACAAGAAGCATTTGATTAGAAAAGAAAACAACAAGAAAAGATGCATTTCTTTTGCATAGTGTTTTTTTCATTTTCTTTTGAAAAAACAACAAACTAATGTTTGAATCGGTGCGTTTCGCCCAGAGCAATCTTCTTTTGTTCTCTCTTTTTCGGCTCAAAGCGACATCCCACAGACCGACGAGAGGTGGGCGACCGACGGCGCGACCGACGGCGACCGACCCCCTTCAGCTCCATGTGTGAACGGTGCCAAGTTGGTAGAGGGGATTTTGCAAGAAAGAAACTCCAAGGAAACTTGAAGGAACCAAGCTAGCGATGGCCTTTGTTTGATCTTAGTGTTCACTTCATGCGAGAAGTTCGAAGCCTCAGGTTGGAAGCATTTGCACAGCCTCCATGCTCTGTCAGGTTTCCACTTTCTCATGCTGCGACCCGCGCTTCTGCGGAGGCAAGCTACTCTTGTAAGAACTCCTGTGCTTTTGGTAGCACTTCACCTCTCAATTAAACACAGCCTCTAAGTCTATGTGGAAGCGAGGATAACTCAGTTGTGAAACACTGAGATTTGGTTGAGCAGTCAGAAAGAACAATGCCACATTGCCCGAGTCGCCAGGTTGCCCAAGTTCCAATGTCTTTTGCCAGCGCGGCAGGCGAACACCTGTAGAGTGTTGCTCTAGCTCTGTCTTTTGTAATCAGCTTTGCTTCTTGCCGATTTCAATTTCTGTTGCAGATGCACACAACACACTCTTGTCTTGATTCCGCCTGGTGCTACCATGAAACACAGTGCGCTGGTGTTATCCTTTGTTGCTCTCGACTGGGGACAGATTCATTTCTGGTGAGGTCAGGCGTGGACAGCGAAGCCTTCGACACTTCAGTGCTGCGCGGGAGTCGATGGAGCACCTCAGATGAGCACAAAACGTTGCGAATGCAAAGGAGAGTTGTAGAGTCTGGAGATTTTAGAGACGTATATATAAATACTGCGAGGGGCCATGCTTTGGAAGCTGGAAATTAATAGTTTTCGTG